TTTTTTTTGTTGTTGTTGTTGTTGTTGTTGTTGTTGTTGTTGTAACAGTATGTTACTGTATTGGGCTAGAGAAAGCAAGGTTGTTATCTTTTGTGGATTAGCCTTGATGTCTTTTTACTGTGCCTAACGTACATTTGGGAGGAGTGTCTGAAGTAAAGGTTGAAGGGATGCTGGACCCGTTTTCCAGCTGACATTCATTTTGGGGCTTTTGCCCATTTACTCCGGGTTGTTTGTGAGGATTCCCGTGCTCGATCGTAATAATTTTTAAATAAATGCTACATTTCTCTCTCAAAAAAAAAAAGAAAATTCGTTCTTCTTTTGGGGGGCGGGTGGGGATGGTGGGTTGGCACAAAGGAACCGAGTGGCAGAAGGCAGTGGCTTGGATACCACCACTCTTGTGTGGATGGGCACAGAAGTTGACTTGTGCTACCCATGACTGCGTAGTATGAAGAAGCAGACTGGGTTCGTGCCAGGCTCGGCACACGGACCAACAACTGTGGCCTGCTAGTAACAACCATCATCTGATACCTGCTGACAGCACTTCACATTGTAGGGGGGAAGGAGGGTTGGAGTTTCACTATACCTGTACTTGGGGCAACTTTCTGTTTAGATACAGCGACATGCACCGTGTGTTCTATTTCGGGAGTGGAGTGGAGTGAGGAGTGGAAGGGTTGAGTTCCCTTAGTGGTGTGCAGACTAAGGGCGTGGAGAGGGAGATGACGGCGCCATGATATTAAAGCTCATGTTATCTTCTTCTTCTTCTTCGTATGGTATTCCGTTATTATTTTTAAGAAACAACGGCGGACACAGCACGTTTTGAGTTCGCAAAGGCAAAAAAAACAGGCATCAGCAACTTTGTCATGGCCTGAGTTTGAAAAGGCGGTTGTAACTCAGGCCGGCAGTGGTGTCAAGGTGGCGTTTTTTTTTTTTTTTTTTTTTTTTTTTTTTCAGCTACAAACTTAAAAACGACTTCATAATCACTGCAACTGTCAATACAACTTGATCACTGGGTGCCCCCTTTTTTTTTTTTCTTTTTTTCTTTTCATGTGGCCACGCCCGCGATGTCTGGGCCACACCCATGGCTGGGCCACGGCCGTGATGTCTAGGCGATGCCCGTGGCTGGCCATGGCCGTGATGGGCCACAGTCGTAAGGGAAAAAAAAAAAAAAAAAAAAAAAAAAA